TACAGTTCCTTCGCTGCTCCAGGGGTCTGGAGAGCAATAGCAGAGGCCCGGCCCCAAATACTTCCTGCACCTGTAGGCACTTACCTTTCAGCTAGAAGGAGCAGGAATAAAGAAGAGATGGCCAGTCTGAAATATCAGTTCTGGATCTCCCTGGGCTCAAGGCCCCACCCTTAGCTGAGCTATTCTCTCACCCTGTGAGCCCTCATGCTCTACCTCATCTGAGAGGCCCCTGACCCCGAAACATGAGCTGGGTGCCTTGCATGCACCTGGGACTGTCGGGTACAGAAATCGAGAGCACAGAGCTGAGCTTTTCGGGGCTTAGCTGTCTTCACATCTGTGATACAAACAAGGATCAGGAAAGTTGTCTTCGTTTTTGTTATTTTACAAGTTGGGGACTTACTCCGTAGGCCAAGCTAGACTGCAGCAACATAGCTGTCTGCACCCTCCAACTCCCAGGCCCAGGGAATCCCCCACCTTGGCCTCCAGGGTGGCTGGGAGCCCAGCTCAAGAGAGGCATTAATGTGCTCTACTTTTCACCGTAACTCCTGCGTATCTGGAAATGGAAAACGAGCTTTCGAAGTGGCTGTTCCTCTGTGAGTCCTTCCTGAACCCTTTCCTCTCAGCCACTGCTCCCGCGACCCCCTCAAGGTCCCTGTCCAGGGCCACCAGCTTCCGGAATAAGCCCCAAGAGTGGCACTTAGCTCCAGCTCCTAGCAGTTCCATCCTTCTATGCTCAGTCTCCTTATGGGCAGCGGCTCTGTGTTACTCACTCGCATGTCCCACGTATCCAGCATAGAAGCCAGCATGGGGCCCAATAAAAGTTTGCAGAGAAAGAAAGGGAAGAGATGGAGGTGAGAGGAGAGAGAGGGAGGAATGGAGGGTGAGAGGGGGGATGCTTTGTTCGGTGAACCCTTTTGTTTCCGAAAAGACGGGTGGGATTTACCACAATGCACCACGTCTTTCCTGTGTGTGAATGCCAGTGGACAGCTGGCCCTATCTGGGAAAAAATGATTTGGGAAGGGTCACCAGACCTATCCCAGTATTGTAAATGCCAGTGTTGATGGGTAGAGGCCAAGGGAAAACTCCCCCTTCACCCTCTGAAGAGTCATGAAAACTCAACACGGAGAAGGCAGATGAATTGGAGAAGAGGCACAGGGGAGAACCACGGATTGATGACCTCCACCCTCCCCCGCCACTCCCCCCATTGCCCCCCCACCCCTCCAGCCACGAGGTGCAGAAGCTTACACACCATCTTGAAGTTACAGGAAGAATGGTAGCTTGAAAGCAACTTAGGAACAGACAACCAAATACTACACATTCTCACTTAGAAGTGGGAGCTAAATGAGAACTCAAGAACACAAGGAAGGGAGCAGCAGACACTGGGTGTTCCTCCTCCACCTGAGGGTGGAGGGTGGAGGGTGGAGGGTGGGAGCGGGGAGGGGAGCAGGAAACGTAACTATTAGGTACTGAGATTTATACCTGCTTGATGAAACAATCTGTACCACGAACCCCCGTGACACAAGTTTACCAATGTAACAAACCTTCATGTGCCCTTGAACCTAAAATACGTTTTTAAAAAATTATTTAAAAAAAAAGAATGTGGGCTTGGATTGTGGCAAAACAGGCTATGCGACGGGAAGAAGAGGAGGCCTGGCTGACAAAGGTGTTCTTGTTACCTAGGAGAAACCTCCCAGGGAGCAGGAAGCAGCCCTCAGAGGGAATAGATGGTGACTGTTTCTATCAGACCTTTTTTTTTTTTCTGGGATGGAGTTACACACTGTCATTTGGGCTCAAGGACAATGATAATGATCTCAGCTCACCGCAACCTCTGCCTCCCAGGTTCACGGGACTCTCCTGCCTCAGCCTCCAGTGTAGCTGGAATTACAGACACACACCCAGCTAATTTTTTGCATTTTTAGTAGAATTGGGGTTTCACTATGTTGGCCAGACTGGTCTGGAACTCCTGACCTCATGATCCACCTGCCTCAGCCTTCTAAAGTGTTGGGATTACAGGCGTGAGCCACCGCACCTGGCCTCTACCAGAACTTTAAATGTGTTAGGCTTTCAATTCTCCTTTCCTACATCCAGACAAGGGAGTCTCCAGAAAGCCTGGCCACCTCAGTGCAGACCCCCTAAGATGCAAATCTTCCCCAAGCAAGACAGTTCTGCAGGGGTGCTTCTGTGTGCTGGCTCTCTGAGCAACCATCTCGAAATATGCAAAAGAAATAGATTTGGGGACAAGCACAGTGGCTCACACCTGTAATCCCAGCACTTTGGGAGCTAAGGCAGGTTGATCACCTGAGGTCAGGAGTTCGAGACCAGCCTGGCCAACATGGTGAAACGCTGTCTCTACTAAAAATACAAAAATTAGCTGGGCATGGTGGCGCATGCCTGTAATATCAGCTACTCAGGAGACTGAGGCAGGAGAATCACTTGAACCTGGGAGGCAGAGGTTGCAGTGAGCCAAGACTGTGCCACTGCACTCCAGCCTGGGCGACAGACCAACATTGCATCTAAAAAAAAAAAGAAAATAGATTTTGGGGTAAAATATTTTGCTTTTCTTCAGCGGTTGGGCCACCTGAACAAAGCCTGAACCCAGGTCCTGCAGGCCCCCCGGTCGTCTTTCCAAAGCTCACCCGTATAAAAGGATTTCAGCCTCTGCCCCTCCTGGCAAGGGTCTCTGGTGGGCCCCGGACAGACATGAAGGAAAAGTCTGGCCTTGACCTTGAGGACCAAGAGCAACCACGCCAGAGGCCAGGGCTCTCATGCCCAGTTACCAAGTGATCACCTGAGGAAAGCCCTTAAAATGCAGGTGCAATGCAGGGGTCCTGGGGTGGCCTGGGACCCTGCACTGCTCACAAGCTCCAGGTGAAGCCGATGCTGCTCCCGGAACCATCCTTCGAGAAGCAGGGGTCTAGAACACACACTGTAGAACCCAGGCAGAGAAGGGAAAACGAAACCAGGCAGAGGAAACCAGTTCCTGGACTCGCGCCCGGGCAGGCCAAAGGGGGCGGGGGCGTGGGTGAGTGGGGAGAGGCGGGGACGCGGGCAGGCGGATGGACTTGCAGGCATTGCGGCCGGGAGGAAGGGGAGGTAACGAATGCTCCCCCCCGTTCTGCGACCGCCCCCCTCCTCTGCCCAGCAGAAACCGGTCCAGGCTGGGGGAGGTGAAGGTGGTGTTTGGGAGGAACACCGCCCCCTCCTCTTGGCACCACCCCCTTCGTCCCCGCCCCTTGGATTCTGAAGCCTGACGTCATGCTATTTGACTTTTCCTTTCTGAAAACCAGGGAGCAGAAATGAAACCTAAACGGAGTTGTCTGGGAAATTTGCGATGGGGGCGGGGAGCGCAGGGAGAAAGCCCAGTGGAGAACCCTGAGGCCCGCGTTTGCAGGACCTGGCCGGCCTTCTGATTCCCCATTCATTCATTCCAGAAGCACGGAAGCTCGCTGTGCCCGGATCCCAAGTGCAGCGGCGCACAGTGTGGGCCTGAGGCTGCCGGTGCACCCGGTCCTCAGCCTGGTAGCAGAAGCCAGGCCAGTGCCACGAGGCCAGGCTCTACCCTGCGCGGCCGCCCAGGGGCCTGTGGTGACAGGCAGGTAAGTCCACTGGACCTGGAGGACAGGTGTGCAAAAGAAAATGACATCTCAGGACCCCCAAACTCTTTCTGTCCAGGGAAACGTCAAGCCTGGGAGCTGAGTCATGCAACCCTGCCACTCTTTTCCCCAAACAGAGCTCTGTTGTCAGAGGCCCACCCAGAGCAACTCCATACCAGGCACATACCAAGCAAGTCCATCTTAAGCAGGAGCTGGGTAAATCCAGGCTGATACCTACTGGCCTGCATTCACAGACAATTAAGACATTCCAAATCACAGGGTGAGCTAGGAGATCAGCACAGGGTCATAACGGTCCTAAAGACCTTGCTGAGAAAACAGGTTGCAGGAAAGAAGCTGGCCAAAACCCACCAAAACCAAGATGCCACGAGAATGACCACCAGCGCCATGACAGCTTACAAATGCCACAGCAATGGCAGGAAGTTACCCTACGTGGTCTAAAAATGGGAGGCATGAATCCACTCCTTCTTCAATAATCCACTTCCATCGAGAAATAACCGTACAAATGGGCAACCAGCAGCCCATTTTTTCCCCTATGGAGTTGTCGTTCTTTTATTCCTTTATTTTCCTAATAAATTTGCTTTTCCTTTATGGACTTGTCATGAAATTCTTTCTTATGCAAGACCCAAAACCGTCTCTTGGGGTCTAGATCCAGATCCCTTTCCTGTAACATTGTGACATCACAACCCCATGCCCCAGCGTTCTACATAATCCAGGCTCTCGCCTCTGGGACAGCTGCCCTCACAAATTGCTCACAAAGAAGTTCCTTGCCGGCCCCAAGCCTTTCAGGATTCATATCCCCCCATAAAACAAGCAGGTGCCCATTGTAACCCTAGGGCTGCAACTTACATGTGACTCCTAAAACAGTTCTGCTAAGCCTCTCGCTGACAGTGCTTACAAGATTACCTTCCAGGTGCAGAACAAGGACAAGCTGAGATCAGTCACTCTTCCACCTGGAGTTTACAGGCACTCCCTAGCACCTCACAAGAATATACCCACGTGCCTCACTGCTTACCTCCTCTCTTTCTTCGAGTGCACACCCTCCACCTTTAAATAGTGACTTCTCTGTTGGGCGTGATGGCTCATGCCTGTAATCTCAGTACTTTGGGAGGCCAAGGCAGGTGGATCACCTGAGGTCAGGAGTTTGAGACCAGCTTGGCCAACATGGTGAAACCCCATCCCTACTAAAAATACAAAAATTAGCTGGGTATGGAGTTTATATATATATATAAATTCCCCTTTATATATATAACATATATAAAAGCATTTATATATAACATATATAAAGGGGATATAATATGTGTGTGTGTGTGTGTGTGTGTGTATATATATATATATATATATATATATATATATATCTAAAGAGGAGTTTATTAACTATTAACTTACATGATCACAAGGTCCCACAATAGGCTGTCTGCAAGCTTGAGCAACAAGGAGAGCCGGTCCGAGCCTCAAAACTGAAGAACTGGGAGTCTGATCATTGAAGGCAGGAAGCATCCAGCAGGGAAGAAAGATGTGGGCTGAGAGGCTGGGCCAGTCTCGCCTTTTCACATTCACTGGCAGCTGATTAGATGGTCCCCACCACCTTAAGGGTGGGTCTTAATCTTCATCCTTCCCCAGCCCGGACCCAAACGTCCATCTCCCTTGGCGGCAGCCTCACAGACACACCCGGGATCATACTTCGCATCCTTCAACCCCATCAAGTTGACACTCAGTATTAACCATCACACCCTGTGACTGTCATCTCTCTACAGCGGAATCTCAAGCAATCCTTTAGAATAGCTAACGGTAACCAACCGAATCTCTATAAACTATATGCCAGCCTTGCATGGAGACTGCTGTAATGCTGTTCCCTCTGATTTTGCCTGTATAGACAACCCCTACTTCCCCACACCTCAGAGAACTGACCCCATTTTCTGGAGTCCGCATTTCCAGGCAGCTGCCCTTAAATGTTGCGCTTGAATACTCTCTTTAAATTCTGACCCCAGCACTTTGGGAGGCTGAGGCGGGTGGATCACGAGGTCAAGAGATCGAGACCATCCTGGTCAAACAAGGTGAAACCCTGTCTCTAATAAAAATACAAAAATTAGCTGGGCATGGTGGCGCCTGCCTGTAATCCCACCTACTCAGGAGGCTGAGGCAGGAGAATTGCCTGAACCCAGGAGGCGGAGGTTGCGGTGAGCCGAGATCGCGCCATTGCACTCCAGCCTGGGTAACAAGAGCGAAACTCCGTCAAAAAAAAAAAAAATTCTGACTCCTCTGAAATTTTTTATAGCCCGATACAGTTTAGTAGAGGGAGGAAAACGCAGGACGGAGCTGTGCCGGGTGGGGGCTCCAGAGGCAGAGATAACTGGGCATTTCGACACGATTAAATTCTGCCCACACATACTGAGCAACTGTGGGCATGCTGGACCCCGTGGCAAGCACTGGGAAAAGCCAAACTCCAGGGAGGCTTAGAAGTGGGTAAAGAGAAACGGGAAAGGAGGAAGATGGTGTGGGTGTGCCCTGGACAGTGTTCGGGACAAGAGGGGCGCTGCAGCCATTGGCACACATGCCTGGGAGTCCCTGCTGGCGCTGGGATCAGCTCAGGGAGCCCTGGGCGGTAATTGCGTAGACCCCCAATTGCCAATGCATCTGTTTTGAAAACCCACCGTGGGGAAGGGCATGTCCAGGAGGTCCAAGGCTATGAGCAGGCTCGGATGACTCCGGGCCTTTAGGGAGCCGCTGGAGCACCTGGATCCTAAGAAGGGCTTGATGAGGCCGGGCGCGGTGGCTCAAGCCTGTAATCCCAGCACTTTGGGAGGCCAAGGCGGGTGGATCACGAGGTCAAGACATCGAGATCATCCTGGTCAACATGGTGAAACCCGGTCTGTACTAAAAATAAAAAATACAAAAAATTAGCTGGGCATGGTGGCGCGTGCCTGTAATCCCAGCTACTCAGGAGGCTGAGGCAGGAGAATTGCCTGAACCCAGGAGGCGGAGGTTGCGGTGAGCCGAGATCGCGCCATTGCACTCCAGCCTGGGTAACAAGAGCGAAACTCCGTCTCAAAAAAAAAAGAAGAAGAAGAAGGGCTTGGTGAAACGAGGTCCTGATTCAGCAGGCCTGGGTTCGGCCCAAGAACCTGCGTTTCCCGCGATCTCGCGGGAAGCAGCCGCTGCTGGTGCGGGGCCGCGGAGTTAGGTTTCGTTTCTGCACCAGGAGCCGGTCTGCGAGTTTCGTTTCTTCGCGTTGCGGGGCGGGGCCGGCCGGGCGCGGGGTAAAAGCGGCGGAGCGAAAGGGGAGCCCGCACTCCAGCGCCGCGCAGGGACCGGTGAGTGTCGCGTCTGGGGTCCGCGCCCCGTACCCGCGCTGGAGCGCGCGAGAAGAGCACTGGGAAGGCGGCGTTCGCGGCGGATACGAGCGCTCGGGCGCAAGGGCGCGGCGGGGCCCTCCTGGGCCGCTAGTAACCACAACGATTATAACGACTACAAGGCGCGCTGACGCGCGGGCTCGGAGCGCGCCTGATTCTCATTCCCACCGGGCTGCGCAGGCTCCTCATTGATGACTCACCCGAAACACCCGCCGCGCCCGCGGCCACGCTGCTGGAGAGGTCGTGAAGGGGCGGGGCAGGTCTCCGAGGGAGGTCTGCGGGGACTCGGGTGGGGGGACAGTTTCACATCCAGGGCTGCGCGGGCCGGAAGCCACCCGGACGCCGACCGCCGCTTTCAGTGGACTTCGATTTCCTGCCATCGCGCGAAAGCAAACCCAAGTCAGAATGCGGAGGTCGCTGGGGAGGGCGGGTTCAAGGAGTCCTCGCCGGTCCTGCTGAGTAAAGCGGGTTCCGAGCTGGGCTGAGGCGGGACGTGCGCGGAAAGACCCCTGCCCGCTGCTCTTTCTTCACCCTCCCGGGGGATGCGATGCCTGGGACCTCCCCGGCTGGGCGCGTGGGGCGGACGCACCCTCGGGGGCCAGCGTTGTTGGCCGGGACCGTGGAGTGGGTGCGGGGGACGAAGGGAGGCAGGACAGTCCGGGGGTGACAGAAGGAGCCCCGGCACAGCTGAGACCTGCGCCCCACCCCACCAATACTCCCAGCGGTGACTGCCCAGCTGGGCAATTCGGATGACCCCAGTTATTTGGTCAAATTTTAAATCATGTTTGTTATTGGAGGCAGGGTCTAGTGATGCTCACCACCCCGATACCCCCGGCCCGGTGTCAATCCCTAATAGCTCCTAAAATGCTGCGTCATCTTTCAGCCTTGGACCAGAGTTGCGGGCCAGGAATCGCCCCAGCGCCGCGGCGGACACGCCTCCCGCCGCCTTCCTCGCCCCCTGCCGCCCACCTGCTCGCCCAGCTCAGGGGCTTTGGTAGGTAGCAGTGCATTTGCGCTAAAGTGCAAGATCTTCTCTCTTTTATTCCTAAAACATTTAAATACTAGTGGGGTTTGGGGGGAAAAACGCTTTCAGAAGAGGTGAGTGTGAGTCCTGCAAGAGTTAGTTTGAAAACTAGGCTGGGTCAGGCTGGGGATGTTGGGCGCTGCTGCATCTTAGGCATTTCCTAGAAGTAGGTAGTGGGTGGTCCTCATTAGGGGTTCTGGGAGAGGAAGGGGGCTGTATCCTCCCTCCCGTCCCGGCTCCTCTATGGGGTCTGAGCTGAGGTACAAGTCCTGGTCTCAATGATGCTACTTGTCTGGGTGCAGAAAGGCCAACTGAGGCAGCCATAGCCCAAAAGACTGGCACTTCTGAGAGGCAGATGCAGTGATGGTCTTTGACATTGAGCCCAGGATGCCCTGGGCATGTGAGGTCTTTCCAAAGACATGGGAGTGTTAGGGCATAAATCCCAGACTGTCAGGCTCCGTGTAAGTACCTTTTATAACCATCCCACTCCTACCTTACAAAAGGAATACATCCCTCTCTCTCTTTCCAAATCAAACAAGGATGCCTGCCCTGGAAGAGTATAAACCTGGGGAAGGGAAACAAAAAAGATAGTTTTAAGTATTGGTGGTTTTTTTTTTTTTTTTTTTTTTTTTTGAGACAGAGTCTCGCTCTGTTGCCCAGGCTGGAGTACAGTGGCATGATCACAGATATCAGCTCACTGCAGCCTCCGCCTCCCAATTCAAGCGATTCTCCTGCCTTAGCCTCCCAAGTAGCTGGGACTACAGGCATGTGCCACCACACTCGGCTAATATTTTGTAGTTTTAGTAGAGACGAGGTTTCACCATGTTAGCCAGGATGGTCTCAATCTTCTGACCTTGTGATCTGCTCACCTTGACCTCCTAGAGTGCTGGGATTACAGGCGTGAGCCACTGTGCCCAGCTGGGGTATGTGTTCTTTAGCCAAGGCAGCATGAACTCCAGGCAGGGCTTCCCGACCTTCCTGACTTAGGTGCTTCTGTGAACTCCAGTGTGACAGGAGAAATGGCATTGGCTCAGGTTGGGATGTGTGCAGCTAGATATGTCACAGAGCAGGGTGACAGGCCGGGGTGATGAGGGGTTTTGTTTTAACAGCCTGTCCCTTCAACCCCCACAGTAATGACAAAGATCAGGCGGCTCTTGGGGGGTGCGGGGGGCACGAGTCCTGCGAGGAGAAGCAGGAAGAGCATCCTCACAGATTATTGATCCAGGCAGCAGATTGGCAGCAAAGCCCTGTACTCTGTTCAGAGTTAAAATAGTCAAACCTTGGGGAAAGGATTCTGGGAAATCAGAATCAGCTTCAAAGCACACCCCTCCTGCACCTGCACCTGCACCATTCTCAGCCATGGGACTGGGTACTCTGGGTGGGTGGGTTCTCTCGGGTGTTCAGCGGATTTGGGTCTTACTTGTACACTTTTGCATGATTTCAAGGTGCAGGAGAACAGCTCTGCGATTCCATCTAACTTGTTGATATTACTTTTATTTGAAGGAACCTATATTGGAGGTAAGTTGGTCCATGCTATTTTCTATAACATTTGAGTCATAAAAGAAAAGATTTTCAGTTACTTTTATCCAAAATCATTAGACACCATAAAATTTCATATTTAGGCACTTGTGGTCCTAGAACATTTTAAAAATGAGTTTCAAATATATACATGTGTATTTGTAATGCAGACGAGTATAGGATAGTTAAATGCTTTCAAGAGTAAAATGAATGACATTTTATTTCCCACACTTGTTGGAGGAAAAGAATGAAAATATGAAATTGATGATCGAAAGAAAAAACATAAAAGATTTAGAGCTCACACGTTTTTTTAAACTAAAGGTTTGGGTATCAAAGTTCCATAATATTTGGATTCCTTTGGCTGTACTGGAAACAGTTCATAACAATTTTATTTTTAAATGTAAAGTTTTTGTTTCCATTTATTGTTCTTTTTGAGATGGAGTCTCACCCTGTTGCTCAGGCTAGAATGCAATGGTGCGATCTTGGCTCACTGCAACGTCCACCTCCTGGGTTCAAATGATTATCCTGCCTCAGCTTCCCAAGTAGCAGGGACTACAGGCGCGCACCACCATGCCCAGCTAATTTTTGTATTTTTATTAGAGGCAGGGTTTCACCATGTTGGCCAGGATAAGCTTCAAACTCCTGACCTCAGATGATCCACCTGCCTCGGCCTCCAAAGTGCTGGCATTACAGGCGTGAGCCACCTTGCCTGGCCTTTAAATGTAAAGTTGGTGTCACAGTTGCACCAGACATTGTATCCTTTGCAACTATTCAAATTTATACTGAAAACATTTTTTGTTAAGTTTAACCTAAAATGATGACAGGAGATACCTAGTTTTAGAAACTCTTTTGGGGACAGAGGCCTATTCTTGAAGCACCTTGAGTAGGGAGGCTTCTCTTTCCTTGAGTAGAGTCAGTGAGCACACACTGTCCCAGGCATTCTGCTACGCTCTGGGGACATCACCATGAACAACTAGTCAGAGTCCCTGCCCCCATGGGCCTTCCCTTGTGGTGGTGAGTTTGGTTCTGTGGCTGAATGCACCAGCTTCTTATCTGTTCAATGTGCATCTGCTTCATCTTAAGCTTAACTTACAAAGAAGGAAGATGGTTCTTTCCGAAGTGGGAGTCGGAAAAGCTGATCCAGCTGTGGAATCACACCATCAGTTACTCAATGGAGATGCTAATGTGGCCAAGAAAAATCCGGCCTCAGTAAGTTGCTCTCTGAAATTCGTTATCCATGTGATGTGAGCTGCGCCGGTTCGAGGCTGCCCTTTTCTACAGTGGTGCTGCTGCCCAGAGATGCCTGCTCTCTCGCCTCTCCTGTGCCAGGACACAGATCCTGATCCTCTACTTGCCAACTTAAGCCAAGTGTAGACTCGTTGCCTTCGCTGACCATGGGTGCAGGTGCTGCTGGGTTTGGGGACGCCAGCTGAGCTGTTGATGGGTTCATGCAAGAATTGGCCCAGGCCCTGGGTTCAGGGAGCACTAGGTTTGTTTCTCCTGCCCACATCAAGATTCGGTCTTAAACTATAAACCCTGGGGTATCATTAGGATATTATCTCTGCAGGGAAGCCACATGGTGCAGTTTTTGCCCAGAATCAACGCATATTTTTGGTGGGAACCAACAGTGGCCCCTGGGAATCAGTTCAGAGTTTAGCCCGACCCTGACCCTCTCAGCTGTGTGATCGTGGGTAGTTATTCCTCCTGTTATAAGCCTGGCCGTCCATCTCTAAAATGAGAGTAATAGTCTTTGCTTTATATGGCTGTTGCGAGGATTAAGTGCAGGGAGTGTCCAGGCACCCAGAGTGCTCAGTTTTTTATTCCAGGGATCATTGGTCTGTTTCAGGCTGGCTCTGTTTTCCTAGGCAACATTAAACATTTTTTCAAACAATATTTTAAAAAGTTGAAGCATGTAGAAAATAGAGAGGACCCAACCTTCCCACCACCCGGGTACACTGTACGTTGTTCTGCGTTTCCCTCCCTTGTGCGTCTCTTGCCTGGCTGGAAGAGATGTAATTATGTCAGGGTGTGGGGCAGGAGGAACTCTCACCCACTCATACTCGTCTGCTTTGGAAGCAGCTTGGCCTTTTCCAGTCAAGGAGAACAGTGTGTGTCTTGTGATCCGGCAGTTCCACTTCTGGGGATAGACTGTGGTTCTCAAAGTATGGCCCCCAGACCAGCCCATCAGCATCACTTGAGAAGTTGATTGAAATGCAAATCATCAGCCCCTCCTCCCACTCTCAGGCCTTGTGAATTGGACACTCTAGGGCAGGGCCCACCACCTGTTCTTTACCAGGCTCTCCAGGTGATTCTACTGCATGCTAGAGTTTGAGAACCATTTGTAAACTCTTGCACACACCCCGCCCCCAGGAGCCACGTGCATAGCAGCACTGTTTATGACAGCAAAACCCAGACTCTGTCCACGTGCCCGTCATGGTGGAATGGATACTGGTGTGTGATACGTTCATGCAGCAGAATTCTATACAGTAGTAAAAATAAATGAACTAGAGTTCCAGGCATCAAAATGTCTGCATCAAATGAGCAATGTTGAACCAAAAAATCAAGTCACACAAAAA